GTTCTGTCCAGTGTTTGAGATGACACACGTGCGTTCTGTCCAGTGTTTGAGATGACACACGTGTGCGCTCTGCCCAGTGTGTGAGATGACACATGTGCGCTCTGCCCAGTCTGAGTGACTTTGACAGTGTCAGAGAGTATAAGGACTGTGTTTTAGTAAGATGGAGTGTGTGCGCGCGCGTGCATGCACATGCATGTGAATGTATGATGTGTATTGTAAAGGTGCCTACAGAAGTCAGAAGAAGGTATTGGATCCCCTGGAGCTGGAGTTACAGGGGGTTGGGAGCTGCCCATGGGGGTGCTGGGAACTGACCTTGGGTCCTCTGGAGAAGCAGGAGCATTTGAGGCCACTGAGTCATCTCTCTAGTCTCACTCTGGGGCCCAGGCTGTCCTGGCATTCACTGTGTAACCTGGACTTGCCTCAAATTCATGGTGATTCTCCTGACTCAGGCTCCTGAATGTGCTGGGATTACAGGTATGAGATACCACACCTAGATTTATTTTATTTTTGAATTGTATTACTTTGTGTGTGTATGTGTGTGTGCTGTGATTGTTGGTTTGCGTGCCATGGCTTTCGTGTGGAGTTGGTTCTCTCCTCCCACCTTTTGTGGGTTCCAGGATTGGACTTGGGTCATTAGACTTCCCAGCAAACACTGCGCTGAGCCACCATGCTGGTCCCTGTTTTTATTAACATTTTTCCAAGTGCTTACATTTTTTACAGTAAAGCTGATTATACAAATGAAAAATAATATTTGGAGGTTCATAGTCTATGTAGGGTCCCGAAAATGTGTGTCAGTGCTGCCCAGTTACCCTGCACCCTTCCCTTGAGGAAACTAGGCCTCGCTGTTCTTTGTAGGTACAGTGGTTGTCCTCTCTCAGTGGAGCTTGGGGACAGAACGTGGCCCAGCTGCAGCCTCACTGACTATGTCCCAGTAGAGTGACCTGCGGCAGTGCGGCGTGTCCTTAGGCCTCACTCCAGTTTGTGTTTGTGACTTCCAAAGAGCGGTTCACGATGACATCATTCACAGCGCCATACCTTTTCGTTATCCTTCACAGCGCCATACCTTTTCATTATCCTTCACAGCGCCATACCTGTTCGTTATCGTTCACAGCACCATACCTGTTCGTTATCCTTCACAGCACCATACCTGTTTGTTATCCTTCACAGCACCATACCTGTTCGTTATCCTTCATAGCACCATACCTGTTCGTTATCCTTCATAGCACCATACCTGTTCGTTATCGTTCACAGCACCATACC